TACATGTTTAAGCCAGAATGATTTGACATTTAAATATGATTTCCCTACGACTTTAACTTTTCGGAATTAGGAGGCAGTCTTCAACATCAACAATGCAGACATTCTGTTATTAATCACAGCCTTTACCAGAAAACTGGTTGTTTTTAACATCACAAAGACTTTAATCAAAGTAAAGCATCAAGGCAACTTTGTGCAATCTGAACAACATTACAGTAAATTCACAGCCAGAGCAGTGAATGATTAATCTTTATTTCTAAAAGTCAAACACAAATCTATATAACTGGAAAGTAAAGCTGCTCTCAGTCCAGAGTGATTTGGTTTTCTCTGGACATACAGGACAGCAACATGTACCCAGATACACATTCTCATCAGGATTCGGTTAAACTGACCTTAAAATAAAAATTAAAAAACACCGGATTCAACAAAATATCATTACTCTGAAAAAAGTAAAGCTTTTGATGGACAGAATGAAACAGACTCAAACGGTCCAACATTCAAGACACGTATGTTGGATAATAGTCCAGGGCTGAGCTTTATAAAACTGTCACAACCCGCTAATGACATAATAGAAGCAATATCCCTCTAACTGGCCCTAAAACACTCATCATATGGTCATTTAAGTGAAGGTAAATGAGCAGGTGACATATGACAGGCTAGCTAGCTTTCATTTAGCATGGAAATAAACTTAATTAGCTCAAATTATAACATGTATATAAGCTAAGTAGCAATGCAACGGAATAATGTATCATTTTCTAAAGAAGACAGCGATATATGGCTGCTAACAGAGAGGCTAAGTAGAAGCTAATGCTCGGTGGCTAGGCTAACTCACCGCGTTTCAACGGTCGGACCGGAGGAAAGTGGAGCAGCACTGAGTTTCTGTGCTATCAGTCGGTTCTGGAGCTACTCCGGACACACCATGGTACCGACCCGGCTCTCAAACCCGCCTCATTACTGAGCCACTTCAACACAGGCTGCTGCACCAGTCCCTGCTCCGGAGAACAACTGGATGTTTTCTTCCTGTTTGGAGCCTGACAGCAGAGACTTCTTCTTCTACTATTTATTTAGGCTGCGTCTCAAATCGGTGGGCGAACCACCGCCACACTGTGGCCTGGAGGTGTAACATGCGGAGTTTCATATATTTTACATAAACGGAAAAAAAAAGTGCTTTGAATTTAATTTATAATTAGCAATCCTGGCGCGTAGTTGCACATCCGCAACCTTTTAAAGCATTATTGCTGATTCTAGAATAGAATAGAATAGAAAATCCTTTAATTGTCCAACAATGGGGAAATTCTGGTGTTACAGAAACATTATTATACAAAAAAAAATGATCAGACAAATGTGGCAGAGGCGTAGCTAGAAAATCCTAATAGGGGTATATTGGAACCCAGCAGGATAAAAAAAGGAAGTAAATGGCACAAAGAAACAACATCTCCGTGGATCAAAACGTTCCTATACCCATTGTGAAACATGGTGGTGGCAGTATTATGACATCAGATTCCTTTTCTTGAGCAGTAACAGGGAAGCTGTGGAAGGCTAATGGAGGTAAGCATTCGCTAATCCTGCGTGTAAACTACTTAAAGGCCAAAGCTAAAGTGATTAAAGCAAAAAATAAATAATTTAGATCAAAATAAAGCTATGCCCAAGGCTCAAGGACGGCCTAGTCAAAGTCAAAGCAGGAATTCAACAGAAAAAACCGGGAAAAAAATTTGTCATTAACAATGTACAATGAGGGGTGGCCAAAAGCTACCAAAACCTCAGGGTCAATCTACACTGTTCCAACAGGAATAAGCACAACATCCATATTTTCTAAGTAAAGCCAAACTATACTTTCCTGCAGCCTATGCTAACAAATAGAAACATATATTTAAACATCTACATGTAAATATGTAAATAAAAGGCATAGGGAACAAAATTCTTTCAGGTTTGAGTTCTGGGGCGAACATATTTCAGTTTTCATTACCTACTTTTATCAATAATCATTCTGCAAAAAAAAAAAAAATTAAAATCTACTAATATCCACATTTAACAATTTTTTGAGTTACTATTAAAGTAACTATTTATCTATGATTTAGACTCCTAGATGACTTGCAGACGCACATAAATTTCTCTTTACCCCAAATATTGCAAAATTTACTTCTGAAAAGAGCATGAATTCTGTATCTGTCATCTTTAATGTTTGCATATTGATGTACATAATTAACCAGTGTTTCTGTAGTCAAGTAGTTGTCAATATATGGAAAATTTAAATGTTAAATAAGTTTAAGCATTCCCCTTCAGAGTATTACTGCTGCCACCGTCTGTATTAGAGGGAAAAAATGGTGGGTGGCCAATGATTGGCTATAGGTGAACCTGGCCCCCCATCTAGCTCCGCCGCTGAAATGTGGACCTTAGAAAAATGTATAAAAACAACATAACAGTGAAGAGTTAAAAGATAAAAAAAATAAAATACTGTACTGTAAAGTGTTTTAACAATATAAAAAAACTGCATCTGGAGAATAAATAACCAATATACAGCTATGGATATTTTTAAAGTAACGGATATTTGAAATTAGTAGCAACATCAGAGATGTGCAAAATGACAGCAGCATGTTATTTAACTGACTAAGGTAGAAACTGTGTCAAAATAAGCATGAATGTAACAACCTATTGAGGTTGTTGGAAACATTGGTGATTATAGAGTTTTCAAGCTGCTGGGAGGAAGGATCTGTGATAACGCTCCCTGGTGCATTTAGGGTGCAGCCGTCTGTCACTGAAGGAGCTCTCCAGTTCAGCACCAGCTTCATGCATGAATATTCTGAATGAAGTTCTATAAATCCCTGGCTTATCAAAAAATAAATAAACATTTCAGCTTGTTTCTTTATATTCTCATCACGTGTGTTTAAGCAAAGAAAATTAGCCTAGCAAAATTCGTACAAAGATAAAATGAACAGGTGTAGCAGCTGCCATTTCATTAATGTGTACACTGAAATAATTTGTTCATTGAAGTGGAATTTCGTGGTGTTTTTTTTTTACCTTGTTAGTTGTAACTGTATTTCTTCAGAAAAAAAAGATACTAAAATAAAGCTGCAATGATAAAAAATTTATTTTTGCCACAAAATTTGAAAACATAATCAAAGGTCTCACAACTCTCATCCCATTGTTTGGAGAAAAAAGCTCTAAATCTGCCAAATTAGGGAGCCTTTTGATCTTCCTGCTGATATGTATAGATACAGTATCTCTATAACAGACATTACATTATGGATCATAAAGAGAAGGAGAGAATTAATAAAGATCCAAATGATAAAGAACAATACTATAGAAAAGAAAATACCAACTAAAATACATGTTTCTATATGGTATAAGAGGCTCACAGCTGTTACCACCCAGAATGTTTGGCATATGAAAGAGGAGACTGGAATTTAATACCCTGACAGCAGATGAAGACGAAGATAAAAATAATATGTGGAGAGATTCCCTTTAAAGGATTTTAATTGTCAATTATGAAGAGAATTTCATAGAAAATTGAGAGCTAGATTTTTTTATAGCCTTGTTATTATGTCTAAATTTGTAAAGGACCCTTCAGTGTAAGATTGTTGAGGATAATGTGTGGAAATAGGACAATATACACAAATATTCTGGGATCACAAATACTAGAGAGATATCATGGTGTAAATTGTGAACATTTTGGGAATTTTTAATTATTGAAGGTCGTATCAAATCAGGATTTTAATGTAAATCAAATATTTAATACTTTTATCATTAGCTGCAAAACAAAATAAATAATAATAATAATTACAGCAAATTTCAAAGAACTGAAACCTAAAAAATATAACAAATAGAAATGAAGTTTTACACTTGAATACCTGTCTCTTAGACCAAAGGTGGCGCTCTTTCAGCATTTCTTAGCATCTTGATGAAGACTTGATGAAGTTGTTGTAAAACTAAGGAATGAAGAAATGTTGTTTTGTTTATTTATTAAGACTATATTAAGAAAAGTAAGATACATATGAGATGTGCTTCTTTTTCTGTTTGTTTTATGGGAGATTTATGAGGAATTTATGTTTCTTCTTATTCCTCTTCTCACATTCTTAGGTATTTTATTTCCATACTCAATGATACAATAATAATACTCGATAAATGACACAAAACTGTAAATAAAAAGTAAAAAGAGAGCTGTAAGTATAACAACTTTAATTCTGCCACCAGGAATCGTATCATTCTATAGCCACTAAAACAGAGAACCCAGGTAAAGAGAGGATTCATGAGAAAGAAGCTGTATATTTAGTGTTTATGCTGATTACTTGTGCTCTTCAAAAATCTGGCCTTTAATAAAAAGTGGAATGAGGCAAGATGGGGGTGAATTTATAGAAAAAAACTGTTTTAAGTTTGTTATAAACTACGTAAGGAACAGAGCAAACAGAAGGGAAGGAGATTATCTGATTAAAACATTACTTTCTGACCCAGATGTAAAACACTGCACTTCACCCTGAACACAGGGTGGGAGCTGGCTCGGAGCTCGTCTGCCTGGCTGTGTGTTTCCTGGACGGGGCCGCCTTTTACAGCTGCTTTTTGTATCTCTGCTTCTGTCTCCTTGAACCCCAGTCGGCCTCTGCAGAAGGCCGCTCACACTGAGCCTGGTTCTGCTGGAGGTTTCTTCCTGTTAAAAGGGAGTTTTTCCTCTCCACTGTCGCTACAAGCATGCTTAGTGTGAGGGATTGCCTTCAAATCAATGAGTCAATGCAATCAACTGGTTTTCCTTAGATAGAAAACTTTGAATCAATTTGACTGTATGATCTGGTTGAACTGTAAAGTGCATTGAGATGACATGTGTTGTGTATTGGCGCTATATAAATAAACTGAATAGAATTATATGAGACAGTTTAATCACTCAGGTTGTTTGCTTCTCGATTCCAAAACAGAAAATAATTCTTCATAAATAAATAATGCGCAGGCCTGATATAGAGCTCTGTGGAGAGTAGAATCCATTTTAGCTCCAAAGTAGCTGTTTAATGGGAGGAGTGTTGGTCTTGGCAGGAAATTTAGGAAAAATTGGAAGCAAGGCAACAGAAATTTTCCATCCCTCATAACCCCCAAATAAACTTTTTTTATCAGATGTGGGCACCATCTGCTGCCTTCCCACTTTCTACTTTAAACCAAAGATATTTGCACATGCATTATGTCTACAAAATAAAAGCTGATATGAAGCTAACCACGCATTCAAATATTTCATCATAACTACTAATAGCAGAACTTCTTCTTTTAACGACGTCCTCTGAAGGTCCAATTCAATGACTGGATAAATTGATGCTAATTGATGCTTTTATACATCTATGCATTAAACGAGACTGATGGAAGATAGCTTCATGCTCTCATGGTTGCCTTAATGATTTATGTGGTCCCTTTTTTTTGTTACATTTCTTTCTAGATTCTATGATGTGTGGATTAAACATTTTCAATTATGTTTCTTTTTTTTTTTTTACTTATGATTTAAAATGTAATTTTTATTATTCAATGGGAAAGTTTGTTTATTTGATATTTAAATCATGGTATAGATATATTATTGAATTTTAATGTTAATAATAAATTCCTTATTAGATATCTATTTCATGATGTATTTTAGCCTCCATATGTGACGTTCTTATGCTTCAGCACTGATCCCGAGCTATCTCTATAGAAATGCTGCTATAGGCTTAGACTGCAGGAGGACATAAAGACCCCCTCCTTTTGCTTCATTCTATCTCTATTCTCCCACTCTGCAGTATTTGTTAGTACGATCTCTAACGTTATTTTTCTGCTCTCTCTGCTTTTTCTCATCATAGTAGCTTCATCTGGTTTGTTCCTGTTTGGCTGTGACTCCATACTGGAGAGAAATATCAGCTGTGCTGCTGCCATCAGCATCATCATCAACATCTATAAGTCATTTGTTCTTTTCAAAGAATTCCAGCTCTCTTTAAAATACATAGAGATCATAATAAAGATGCAAATGCTTTCACAAACAAAGCTAAATTTACCATTACTGCAACATCTTGACTAAACTGTTGACTCAAAAACAGCAACATTACTCTTTGGTACTTTGGGCAAGAAATGCACAATGTGAGAGAAAAGCAAAATTTTGATTTAAAAAAACAAACAAAACAAAAAAAACTAAATATTGGAAAGTGTAACTCATATTCAGTCATATGTTTACATTTATCAGTGCTGCACTTTAACAAATGAAATTGTCTTGAAAGATGCACTAAACATAGTTTCTTTTTGTATACACACTGTGTGTACAAAATGTCAATAAACTATTTCTAAGTCTAAGTAAAAGAATATATTAGACTCATGGAAGTTGAGTCTCTGTGCATCCGGACAGTAAAATGCAGATGCTTGGCAAATCTATTGACTTAATATATATATATATATATATATATATATATATATATATATATATATATATAT